GTTTAGGTTAGGTTAAGGGTTGTACAGTAGCCTATTTGATTTAACATCAAGTGTAGGCCAGTGGTTTTCATTCCTGGTCTAGGCTCCTACAGCACTATACATTTTGTATGTGTTCCTTATTTAACAAACCTGATTTAGATCATCAGCTCATTGGGAGATGTTAAAAAGTTTTGAATTAAATTAAAATGTGCAGGTTTTAATAAAAGTCTGCAGGAACAGGCCTCCTTTACTTCTGTTGTATACTCTTGCATTTATGTAACAGCAGCTTTACTCAGGTTTGTTTTGTGAAGGTACATACCTCTTCATCCAAGTCACCTGTGCTGAAGCTAACTTGCCTTTGTAAATTCAGCTTCAGGCGATTCTGGTACCACAGCTTGGTTTGTTCCACAACCTGCAGTCCAGCCCACAGGATGTCTTTTTGTCTTTCCAGATCTCTACGTCTCTTTAGCTAAAAGAAACATTAAGTTATCATAAACATTGAAACCCTACACTATAGTATCAACTTTAAGTGTTTTGGTGCATTAAAAATGACAGAATTAAGCATTAAGACTGGTGCATATATTGGAGAATATATTGTTTGTGATAGTGATAGACTGATTAATCAGCTGATATTTGGCCATTTTGAAATTACTGGCATTGGTTGATAACCCTCTCTGTTTGGCCGATTAACAGAAGTGTTGCTCCCCCTACAGAAAATATGCAAGTAAATATTGTGTAAAACAAATATTTTGATAAGCAAAAATTCTTATTTGTGTATTTTATTGGAGATCAGCCACCCAAAATGCAATCGCTTGCATCCCAAATGACGCACTATACACTATGCATTTGGGCATTTCCTCCGAGAAGACAAGGGAGGCAGTGCTTCCTCAAAAAATTGGATGAGAATAAAATTCACAGTACAAAAATAAAACAACGCAAATATTACAAAATATGACATATAAAGTGTATGAATCACTCGTTTTTCTAAAGTAAAACTGTCCAACAGCGACACCAGCAGGTAAACTTACAGTGGGAGTCTGCGTCTCTCTTGCCTCCCCTGAGTTTTAACATACCCCCTAAAGCAGGGGTCTCCAAACTCGGTTCGGGAGGGCCGGTGTCCTTTGTTGAGTTTAGCTCCAACCCTAAATAAACACACCTGAACCAGCTAATTAAGGTCTTACTAGGCATAACTAGAAACTTCCAGGAATGTGTGTTGAGGCAAGTTGGAGCTAAACTCTGCAGGACACCGGCCCCGGAACGATTTTGGAGACCTCTGCCCTAAAGTGTGCAGTGGGTTTGGTGGGGGGGGGTAATTGAGAATGAATGGAGGAAAGTCATGTGAGAGGAGGCATGCCTCCATCACGATATGATTGGATATGACTGGTTATGGATGGCTATGGTTGGTTCATGCAATAAATCTCACCTCTTGTGTTTGTGTGCATTCCGTGTTCGTAAATCAGTCTAAATGAACAAAATGATGGCATTAATGGGAGGTCTAATTAAATAGTAAGCAATGCACACACTTATTTATCACCACTTTGTCATGTCAAAATCAAACTTCAAATGGCCTGAAAACATGATCTGTGGTTTTTTTTTAGTGAGCAATCAGCTTGTTGAAATTAAAGGTACATCTGTGACCAGTGATGAGATTTATACTTGGTTTTAATAAATATAATAACCTATTCATTACATTGTTAATGTAAAAAATACTAAATAGATTTTTATTCTGGTAGTGTACTATAAGTATGTTTATTTAACCACGAAAATGTGACTGGGATATGAATTTACATTTTATTTTTTTAAAAAGTGAGGACTTTGCTTCCTCATTTCAGAACACCACTGCACACGACTGATTTATACACTATGTACTTATGCACTTTGTACTAATCCGTGCAGTGTATGAATTACACTACTGTGTAAAAGTCTTAGGCCATTATTATTTTCACCAACAAAAAAGGTTTTAAGCCAGTTATTTCTATTTTGTTGGAGTTTGTCAGTAGGAAATATCAGTTTACATTTCCAAACATTCCTTTTGCCAATAATTGTAATAATCCAGTGAGATTTTATATGCACAATGACTCTTACACCAGCTAGTATTCTCCACACAGAGATCTGATCTCACAATTTTGAGTCCATCTGGGATTACATGAAGAAACAGAAAAAAAAATGAGACAGACTAAATCCAGAAGAACTGTGGCAACATTTCCAAGACACCTGAACATACCAACCTGCAAAGCTACCTGAAAAACTATGTGCAAGTTTACCTAGGACCAAAGCTGTTTTGAATGCAAAGGGTGGTCATAGCAAATGCTGATTTGATTTACGTAATAGAAGTGAATTGATAAATAAAATCTATTTATGACATTATTTTTGAAAGTATCCTCACTTTACAGCATTTTTATACAAGCGCCTAAAACTTTTCACAGTAATGTAGCTTTGCGGGTACCTGTAGTTCCCTTTCAGTCGGTCACTCTCGACGTCACGTCGGATGACCGACGAATTGGGATCTCGCTTAGAGAGACCAATCTACTTCCGAGTGTAAACTAAACGAGCCAATGCACATTGGCATGCGATTATTGCATCCAGCTGCCGCTGATCACAGCGTGAGTATAAGTAGGCAGCAGATGCAGCGCATATTCAGCTTTTCGCTTCGGAGCCGAGCGGTTCTATCATTCTGCTCCTGACCTTCTACGTAGTAAAAACTACAGTCAAGCACGCTCTTCGTGGGCTCTCGTGCTGGTGGTACGGCGCTTCAGCGGCGGTGGTTTTCCCGTGTCGAGTGGGTTGCACACATCAGGCTGCACTACCCCTGTGTGTGTTGCAGACGGCCATCTCCTCTGTGCGCTTCAGCACACTAAAAGAGCAATTTCCAGCTAAAAGAACTTCACGGGTGGAACGTCTTTTTAAAGATGTCGTACCATCCGTGTTCACGTCCCGTCGCCACAGCTCCTGTACCACCGCTGAGCGGCCGGGTCACCGGCTCGGCTCCTCAGCGAAAACCTGAATATGCGCTGCATCTGCTGCCTACTTATACTCACGCTGTGATCAGCGGCAGCTGGATGCAATAATCGCATGCCAATGTGCATTGGCTCGTTTAGTTTACACTCGAAGTAGACTGGTCTCTCGAAGCGAGATCCCAATTCGTCGGTCATCCGACGTGACGTCTCCGTTCCCTCCTTCAGGGAATGAGGTTTACCATACGTAACCAAGACGTTAGTTGTCCAAAATTCCACGCTTAGTTTTCTCAGTTAATTAAGTGCATCACCAGGGTATTTAAAGTGCACATTTAGGAATTTTCAGTGAACACACAACTTGTACTATTTATACTACAAAATGGCATGGAATAGTGCATAAGTTTGTGATTTGGGACTCACTTTAGCAGTGCCCTATAGCAACCATCTAGCACTTGCCTAGCAACAACTGAAAATACCTTGGCAAGCATTTAAACTACATAAGGCCTACAAGACATTTTCTTCTTATTCTGCCTAAGCCATTTAACATTCAAAACTAAGTATGCTCAAGTCAAGTCAAGTCACCTTTATTTGTATAGCGCTCTATACAATACTGGTTGTGTCAAAGCAGCTTTACAGTCTCAAACAGGAAAATAGTTTGTCAATGATGCAAGAAGACAATAACAGAGTCGTTTTTCCAGCTAAAGTCAGTTCATTGATGATTCAGTGATGTCATCATCCATTTCAGTTCTCTTCCAATAGTGTCTGTGCAACTACATAAATATTAAACCGATCTTTAAGATTATTTTTTTCTTTTATTTCTAATTTCAGGCAAGGATTTGTAAAATTTAAATTCAACATTTATCCTCAAAAATGTTGCTTTTTAAGTTTCATCACTACAGACAAAACTGTCATGTTTCCAAATTGTCCCATCCCATATGAGGAACCTTTTTCCTCCAAAATTACACATAGTACACAGTGTCTTACCCAGTGGAAGCAGTGCAGTGCGTCAGGGCTGTACAGGCTGTTCTGGAGAGGGATGATGACGACAGTGTAATAGCCATCGCATGCCATGTGTACAAATGCTGGCAACTCAAGACATAACACAAAATGAATAACCAGGAGAGAGAAAGCAAGAAACAGAGAAATATGAAGCCTTGTGAGAATGAGCGAGAGAGGGAGGGACGGAGGGAAGGACAGATGGAGGAATGCAAATAGATACTCAGGAAAAAGCTGATGATGACAGCATATGTGGTTATGATGGCTGCATTACTTAAACTGCAAAACCAAAACTCTAAACATGCACCTAAAAATGACAACAGAGATCAGATTTTGTGATTGTACGACATTATTCCCCTCAGCAAACTGTCAATAAGAACCCCTGAGCTGTCAGTTAAACCGAAAACACCTGATTCTGTCTCTCCCATCATTCTGCGTTTTCTGTTCCAACATGTTAGGGAATGTGGCTGAACCTGGACTAAAATAATAACAGGCGTGTTAACACAACTATCTGAAAATAAACCAATAATATTTCAGATGTACAAGCAGGGGTGTTGACAGAACCTGAGCGTTTGGGGTGACATTTATAATAAAGTGACCAAATTTATAAAGAAATCCAACATTGTAGCTGAAATTACTGTTCAAGTTACATTTTTTCAATGGTTGCATAGGACTTGACACAGAAAAAAACATGAAATATTCTATTTGTTATTTTAAGTTATGTTAAATAATTTCAAAATATACTATATGAGTATTACTCATATGCCTTTTTATGCTTTATTCACACTGCAAGTGTTTGGGATTGACAACCGCATTTATTTATAGGTGTGAGTCTCAAAATGTTCTGTTCACACAGCAGCTAGTTGAACTAGTACAGTTCCATTCAAACTGCAGGGCTTCAGCAAAAATACGATTGTGAGTCCTGAAAATGTATGGGTATGAGTTTGGTTATAGAATGCAGTTGTCAATCCCATAAATAATTTAATTGTGGAAGAACGCAACAGTATTAATGACTCAGGACTGACAAACGTATTCTGCTGCTGTGTGAACGTGGCATTAGGTTTCTTTAACTACATAGTACTTGAATAAAAAACTGATACAATTTACATGTATACAGTGTACATACATATTGTTACATTGTACTGACACTGAAAGAATACAGATCTGATAAAAGCTAATAAAGAAAAAGTTTGCCTAAAAATAAAAAAATTTAAGTTTGCCTAAATCTGTCTGTTATTAAACAGAAAATATTATGATTTCACAGTCTGTGTAGTTTTCGCCCCACAAAGCTTCTTGTATTTTCTGTCTTTGTCTCTGTACTTCTTTTCAACCCTGCTGTCACATCCACCCTTTAAAAAAATAATTATCTGACATTATATTTTAGATTGTAATTGTGCCCAAAACACCTCTAAAACCAGTAGACTAGGCTGGGAGATCAGCAAACGCTTCGGTTACTAACATAACCTCGGTTCCCTGAGATAACGGGAACGAGCGTTGCATGAAACGATATGGTGAAACTCCTGTTTAATCTGAATGCTAAAGCCTGATTTGTTCACGTTCGTTGAGCTGCACAAACAAATGGCATTTCAACCCACCAAAACAGGCAGAGCCGACTGCCTAAGTCGGTGGTGAATGCCATTTTATCATAATCTTTTGACAGATAGCGACAGTCATCGACTTGCGTGCAGCTTTATAGCACGGCAGCCTACACAACACTTGTTCCCGTTATCTCAGGGAACAGAGGTTACATTAGTAATCAGAGCATTCCCTTTTTAAAACAGTCTCTTGCGTTGCATGAACGCTATGGGGAGCATATCCTATAGTGCTGTGCTATAAAAAAGTGCAGAACAAAGACGCTTTGCGAGCCCAGCCCCGGAGCGCCATCAATGAGGGCTCCTAAGAAGCATGAGCTAACAATGAGACCCAGGGTCTAAAGCCGGGGTATGCATAACTAAGACCTTTCCACTCACAAGGGTATTAGGGAGATTAAGCGGACAAGATCCGTGCCTGAAGGGCAAGAACGTCCAGGTTATAAAATCTAGTGAAGGTAGACGGTGAAAACCAGCCGGCAGCCACACAGATATCACCAATTGAAACTCCGCTGGACCAAGCCCAGGAGGAGGCCATTCCTTTGGTGGAGTGGACCCTCATCCAATAGGACACTGTAAGTCCACTGAGGAGTAAGCCAAGGCTATAGCATCTACTATCCAGTGGGATAGTCTCTGCTTCGTGACTGGCAGCCCTTTAGATCGGCCTCCGATCGAAGCATAAAAAGAGCTGTTCTGAATGCCTAAAGTGGCTAGAGCGTTCTATGTAACGTCTAAGGGCCCAAACCGGGCAGAGTAAATTGGAACCCTGCTCGTCCTCTGAATTAAGGAGAGCTAGAAGGGTGATGACTTGTGCTCTGAACAGAGTGGAGAGGCCCAAACTCAAGGCAAGAAGTGCTAACTGAGAGTGCTTGCAGATCACCCACTCGCTTGACTGACGCTAAAGCCAAAAGGAAGGCAGTCTTAAGTGCCAGGGGCCATAAGTCGGCTGGCTGGAGCAGCTCAAAGTGGGGACCTCGAAGGGCCCTGAGGACCATGGACAGGTCCTAGGTCGGCACAGTATGAGGACGAGGCAGATTCTGAGCTCCCCTCAGGAATTTAATGACAAGGTCAGTTTTGTTGACTGACTGGCCAGCCACGAGTGCATGATTCACTGCAATGACTGCCACATACACTTTGAGTGTGGAAGGGGTGCGCCCATTGTCCAGCAGCTCTTACAGAAAGGTTAGAATGGATGACAAGTCACATGAGGACTGTACACCAGTAAGAAAACACGGACCACTTAAGGGCGTAGAGGCATCTCATAGACAGGGCTCTAGCTTCCAAAATGGTGTTAGTTACCCTCATGTAAAGCTGTAAAGACTCCCGCCGAGGGGCCAAACATGAAGGCTCCATAGCTCGGCCCGGGTATGAAAGAGATCATGCCTCTCACTTGAGAGAGGAGGTCCTGAAAAGGCATTTCATCAGGGCATGATTCAGGTGTCTGAGATCGAGGATGGGCCTGAGCCTATGAGCTTCGTTGTCCTGTACCAAAGTTTGAATAACACGTCTGAAACGATTGGGCCTGCGAGCGAACTGGAGTGAGTAGCCTCGTTCTATGGTCTGCAAAACCCAGCTTGACACGCCCGGGATGGCTTTCCACACCTGGAGCCGGACGGCAAGTGGTTTGAGTTTGTCGAATGGCAGGTCACTGCACTGGGGCAGGGAACTGACATTAGTGTTGTTGTGAAGAGGAGAAGTGATCTTTTGGGTAGGTGGGTCAACTATCACAGCAGCAATTTGCTTGGGCACGTGCTGAGTGGGAAGGTTGGGCCCAGCATGAACAAAGCTTCCATCGCCTGGAGCTAAACAGGGGACTGGAGAACGAGCGCGAGACTTCTTTGAGGGAGGTCCGGCCTTGGCGGGACCTGACCCTCTCTGCTTCTTCTCTGCATTGGGATCACTTGTGGAATTTTTGTGCAGCTCAGGGTCCAATGTCACTCTGGGGCGGTGCCCCTGGGGCTTAGGAAATGTGTTTAGCCATCTGATGGCACTGTCAGAGCTCAGTGCCATCAGAAAAAACAGTGCCAGTCTCTGGCGGGAGGTTTGCTGATGACGTCCTGGCAGGTACCACTTGTCTAAACGGCTGCGGGCAGGATCTTCTGCAGCTGACCATTCTAAGCGAAGTTCCTCCAAAGCCTGGGTGAGGAAGTGAATCAGATCGCTGTCCACACCGGCCCGTGTTGACTCCTTGGGGGGAACGTTGCCAGGATCCTCTCTGAATCACACCCTATCCTCCGTGTCTGAAGCTGTCAATGACATTGAGTCATCAGCGACAGCTTCCTCCTCCAATCCGCTAAACGAGATGAAACCGCTCGCTGCAGACGACCGACACTTATCCTCTCATGTAAAGTGCACCGGCGAATTGAACTGATGAGGGGAGAGTGAAGCACGTGGGACCTGCGCCAACGGGTGATCACTCGAGCCATGTAACTCCACTGTTTTTTCCTCCGAGGCTCCTGGGAGGGGAGAAACGGGAGAGCAGGAGGGGCAGGGTCACCTTCATCAAAGAAGGTGATCTGCAAGCGAAGTAGGGCAAGACTCATGCTCTCACAGTGAGAGCAGTCTGTCTCAGTGAGTGCAGCCTCAGCGTGGGCATGGCCCAGGAAAGTGACGCACTCACTGTGCCCGTCTGAAGCGTGCAGTAGTGCCCTGCACGAGTCACACTCGTGACGTGACATTTGCAACAACGCCATGATGGAAATATGCTCCTAGAAAAATTTGGAATAAATTTGGTCTTTTGTGTTTGTCGGATGGCCACAGAGAAGTGCTGAAGAGGAGCGTCTTTCCACTGCCGGGGCTCTTTTACAGCAAGTAAGAAGGCTTCTTTCTTCTCTTCTTCTTCTGAGTACAGTGAGGAGATGATCTTTGCGCTGAAGGAGAAATTTCGGATTAAATGGCATTCAGCGACGACTTATAATAGGCATTCGGCTCCGAACGTTTTGGCGGCAGTGTTGCCTGATGTACGATAATTATTGTATTTGTATGATAATTTTGACCTGTGTACGATGTACGATCAATGATGGAAAAAATTCTATAATGTATGATCATTTCAGAATTTTCAAATCATGGTCGTTGTAATCATAGTGCTTTGATCTAGCTGTGGATCCTACGTCTTACCGTCATGATTGTGAGGAGAACATGGTGTTACGCATGTCTTCCATCTCATCTCACGTTACGTCTTCTTGGCCAATCATCGTGGAGAATGACTCTCTCACAAGCACTAGTTAACGTTCCTGCAATGGCCACGAAATTATTAACGGCTCATTACAGACACTCTAAATGGGCTCATGCACACCTCAGGTTGTGTTAAGAATGCGGGAGGGTGCCCTGCTTTTAAGCCAACTATGTTGCGGTCTATGACGGCATCAAATCTGTACCGCAAAAGGACCCCCTCAACATCAGACAACACGCAGGCTTATGATGACAGCAACTCAGATGTTGAGTTTGGACCTTCCCACTAATGTACGCCTAGTTATTTATCTATTGTGGTAATTTGCAGGTCGTGTCAAAAACTTGTTGGTATAGATAAATAGGTGTATTCTGTATGTCTG